GGAGGAGGAGGAGGAGGAGGAGGAGGAGAGGGGGGGGGCAACATGAGGAGGTGGAGGAGTAGGAGGAGGAGGAGGATCAGCAGGAGAAGGAGCAGGCGGAGAAGGATGAGGAGCAGGGGGGGCAGGAGGAGGATGAGGAGGAGGAGGAGGTGGAGGAGGAGGAGGAGGAGGGGGAGGGGTGAGGCGGAGGCCTGGACAAGCCCCCACCCCTGGCCAGTGAGAGCCCTCCGCCCCACCCTGCGCCTTGCTGTCCAGGGTCTCCCGCTCCAGCAGCGCCTGAGCCGCAGCGGGCGCGGAGGAGTCGCCCCGGCTCTTCGAGGAGAAGGGAAGGATCAGTCTGCATCGAACGGGGGAGTCGGATCGGATCTGAACGCGCATCAAAATCGGGCTGCAGCGGAGGAGGCGCCCCGGCTCTTCGAAGAGAAGGGCAGGATCAGTCTGCATCGAATGGGGGAGTCGGATCGGATCTGAACGTGCATCAAAATCGGGCTGCAGCGGAGGAGGCGCCCCGACGCTTCGAGGGGAAGGACCCCCCTACCAAGGCCACGCTGACGGCGATGTTGGTTCACGGCTGCGCCACTAGAGAGGCAATAAAAACGCGGGGCGAAGAAACCGTGCGCCTTTCGTGCACCTGTTGGGCCGGCGGTGGTAGTTTAGGGACCCTTGAAGGCCCAATCAGGGTTACTTTCGTGGTGAACGTTTTCTTATTCGGCGTTTCGACATTGGGCGGAAGGGGAGGGAGAGGGGGGGGGTCTGGCTTCGGACCTCTGCTTCACGCGACTGTTTGGAACCGTGCGTCCTACGGAGGAGACTTCACCTGCTCGAAACAGGCGCCAAAAGCACCCAAGATCTACTCCAGGGGGGGAGGGGGAGGGTGCGAGGGCCCGCGCCGATCGGCAAAACAAGGAATAAGCAAACGATCGCCTGCAGTGCTCGATCCCCCTCATGCTTCTTGGCCCCCCGTTGCCGTCCGCCCGAACTCGTCGGGGACCCCGTGCCATTCGTCCCGGCGGCCTCGGCCACGGCGGCGTGCAGCTTTCGGTTGCTTCTCAGCGTCGCGCGCGCGACGTCCAGCGCGGTGCGCAGCAGCAGGTCCACCTCCTCGTCCACCTTCCTCTTGAGGTCCTTCGGGCAGCTGGGGCCAAGGGGAGGAGGAGGAGGATCTCGGGGCGCGCGCGCGCGCCGCAGGGGACTGATCTGAGAACATGCGCGCAGCCCAGACTATCACTCTGGGGGCGCGCGCGCGCACGATCTGAGCAAACGCGCGCCAAAGATCAGCAGTCTGAGGGCGTGTGGGCCCCAGGTCAGCGATCGGAGCGCATGCGCGCCGGCTTAAGCAGCAGAAAACAGCAGCAGGGTCGACCGATCGAATGGGCAGCTGACGGCGACAGCTGCGGCGATGCTGACCTGAGGTCGAGTGCAAACCGCGCTTCGTCCCGCCGACAGACCCTAAACAGCATCCACCACAGGTTGCGCATCAAGGACTGCGCCCTCTGTCCATTCGAACAAATACGCGTTGAACATTTGCCACTCCGCACTTTCTGGATCGGGCTGCTGCTCCCACACGTCGTCCAGCCCGAACGGCGGTCGGCCGTGGTGCCCCTGTTTTCGTCCACGAGGTTCTCTGTGGTCGGGGTCCTTGCGCGGCATACAGATCGCAGGGATGACTGGGCAATTCAAACTGGCCGTAACGCCTCCCATCTCTGAACAGACGGGCACCTTGTAATTGGACATCATGTGTGCTGCCCCTTTCCCCAGCGGAAAAGTTCGTGATATACCCAAAACTACCCCAGGCCCGCTGCCACCAATTCTCGAAGTCCAGGTGGTACACCTCCTGAGAGCTCCAAGCCGTGATAACCGTGGACCCACAGGCAGCATATCGCCTGGGGCTCTTGGCTTGGCTTCAAAGCTCGAGGTCCATGTCCATGGATAGCTCATGGCGGGGGTGGCGCCGACGTCGAAAGCACACTAGGAGAGTGTCATCGACGGCGCTCGCAAGATTCACCATGTGCGGGTTAAGCTGTTCAGAAGCGCCCACCACGGTGGGCGGAGATCAATCCGCAAAGCAGCAACACAATGCCGCAAGACCGCTCAGCATCGCGCGCACCACAACCTGACGTCGGCTGGGACCCCACGAGAGGGATGGAGCGGGATCCCCAGCTCGGTCAGCAAGCAGTTCCTCATCTTCTGTCAGGGAGCTGAAAGGCATCGACTGCGACGACATACCCGCGAAGTGGCTTGAAACATCCATAAGTTGTTTGACAGATTTTGGCGTTCTTGCCTCTTCCGCTTCCCGACGCGCCAAGACGGCCCAAGAGGCCCTCAAGATCGCCCCAAGACGGCCCAAGAGGCCCCCAAGAGGGTCCCCTAACGGCCGAAGAGGGCCCCAAGACAGCCCAAGACGCCTCCAAGACGGCCCAAGAGGCCCCCAAGGCGGCTCCAGGAGAGTGCCCAGACGGGGGACCCGAACTGACATTTCGAGCTCTCAGCCCCAAGAGGCCCCCAAGAGGCTCCGAAGAAGCCCCAAGAGGCTCCCAAGGTTCCCCCAAACTGCCCCAAGACAGCCCAGGAGAGCTCCAAATTGTCCAGGAGGCCTCCAAGAGTGCCTCGAGACAGCGCAAGAGGAGCCCTGGACGGCCCAAGGCGGCCTCAAGAGAGCCCCAGGCTGTCCCACGAAAGCCTCTGGTCTCGTCCTCCTCCTCTTCCTCTTCCTCTTCCTCCTACTCCTCCTCCGCCTCCTCCTCCTCCTCCTCCTCCTCCTCCTCGTCCTCCTCCTCCTCCTCCTCTCCTCTCCTCCTCCTCCTCCTCCTCCTCCTCCTCCTCCTCCTCCTCCTCCTCCTCCTCCTCCTCCTCCTCCTCCTCCTCCTCCTCCGCCCCCCCCCCTGCTCCCCCTCCTCCTGCTCCCCTCTGCCTCCTTATCCTCTTCTTGCTTCTCCTTCACATCCTTCTCCCCCCTCCTCCTCCTCCCTCATCAACCTCCTCCATCCTTCCTCCACCTCCCACTCACCTCCCCCTGCCCCCCCTCGTTTTCATCTTCGTCGTTCTCAGGGTTGGCGGCACTGGCCGCAAGGCCTTCGCAATAATGTCGAGCACCCCGACAGGTATCGAAGCATTGTCTGCCCGACACACTGGCGAGATGCCGCACGAGTATCGCCTCCCAGGGCCCGACACGTGAAAACCGACGAGTTTCGATACTTTCTTGGTGCTCGAAATTCTTTGGCGGTCAAGGCTAAACTAAGTTGGAACATCATAACCCTGGAGGCAAGCAGGGTGTTTCTTGGCACGGGTTTAGACTGTACCATTCCTCCCCCGCGCCGATGCATCCTCGGCGGAGCCGCGAGGAGAGCAAAGCGGCACGCCGACTCACACACTGCAGTCGCCCGCGCACGTGTCGATCGCGCGGGCACTCTCTCTCTCACACACACACGCGCGCGCAGACACGCTGGGCCTGAGGAGTAGGAGTGGTAATGCCTCTCGGCGGCGAGCGAGGGGGGCAAGTGAGAAGGGGCGGGCCTTCTCAGAAGGTTCGGAGGTCCCGGGGCCTTCTGAGAAGTTGCCGAAGCCTTCCCCGAAGACGCAGAACAACTTGCCAGAAGGAGCGAGTGGCTTCTGGGAAGTCCCGCCGCATTCTGCGAGGGCCTGCTCCTTCTCACTGCCCCCCCTCGCTCGCCGCCGAGCCCAGCCACGGGCTGCGCGCAGACAGCCCCCCCTGGTAGTCTTACACGGGCGTGTCCCCCTAGAGGCGGATGTTGGAGGAAAACTTAAATATATCCAACACATATCCAACACATATTCAAACCAAACACTTTAAAAATCGTCCCCAGACTATTTCTGGACTATTCTTGGATATCCCTCCTCTAGAGGGACAGGCCCGACTTAATGGCAGTCCTGGTCGGCCTCAACAGCCCCTCCGAGTGGGCTGGGGCGGTCTCGACACCCAGGGTTGGGGTGCCGAGACCGCCCTGGACTGCTCGGGGGAGCTGTCGAGGCCAAGCAGGCCGCAGCCTGAAGCACCAAGGGGGAGGATGGGTCTGCGGAGCTCTCCGAGGCGTTGCCGTTGGGTCCCAGGCAGGCCCTGGCGGGTCCCCCAGTCGGCTGTACGCCGAGGTAACCCTTGGCAGGGGTGACCATTGGCGCGCGGCTTGCCAAACGCTGCGCGCAACGCGACCAGTCGCGGTCTGCGTGCTTCCGGCGACGATGGGGGTGAAAAGCCCCGGGGGGAGGAGGAGGAGGAGGAGGAGGAGGAGGAGGAGGAGAGTAGGAGGAGGAGTAGGAGGAGGAGAGGAAGGAGGAGGGGAGGAGGGGAGGAGGGGAGGAGGAGGTAGGGGGAGGAGGAGAGGAGAGGAGGAGGAGGAGGAGGAGGAGGAGGAGGAGGAGGAGGAGGAGGAGGAGAGGAGGAGGAGGGAGGAGGAGAGGAGGAGGAGGAGGAGGAGAGGAGGAGGGGGAGGAGGGGAGGAGGAGGAGGAGGAGGAGGAGGAGGAGAAGGGGAAGGAGGAGGAGGAGGAGGAGGAGGAGGAGGAGGTGGAGGAGGAGGAGGAGGAGGAGGAGGAGGAGGGAGTGAGTCGGCTACGCATGAGAGCGGCCCTGCGCCGGAGTGGCTTTTGCTGCGCGGCTTCCGGGAGGCGCGGATGTCGGAGGCGAAGACAGGGGGCAAAGAGTCCAGGGGCGGGTATTCCATGTGTCCTCCCTCCGGCAGCCTCGCCGATGACAGGGCCATCGGCGGCCCTGGATATGGAGTTTCTCCGAAGGGCTCAGGCGACCCGCCGCCCTCTGGCGGCGCCTCCAGCGCTGCCAGTGGCGCACTCTGCGCGCCAGGGAGAGGAGGGGCCCAGTGCCGATCCAAGAAATCCGCGCGGAACTCCGACAATTCATGTTGGGTTTCTCTTCTTCTCGGCGAGCGCGGTCCGCTACTCGCGAAGTAGCTACTCGCAAATGGCCCTAATCCGCCGCGGGGGGAACATGTTTTTTTCCGACGCTTGTGAGTAGGCACCTTGTCCTCGCCCTCCTCCTCCACCTCCTCCTCCTCCCCCTCCTCCACCTCCTCCTCCTCCTTCACCTCCTCGTCCTCCTCCTCCTCCTTCTCCTCCTCCTTCACGTCCTCGTCCTCCTCCTCTTGGTCCTCCTCCTCTTCACCTCCTCCTCCTCCTCCTCCTCCTCCTCATCCTCCTCCTCATCATCCTCCTCCTCGCTCGGTGTTCTTCGAACGATGCCGTTTTGCAGCGCGCGGCCTGCAGAAGTCCGGACACCTGCAGGGACGGGGAGGAGGGGCGCCGGGGCAGCCGCTGCCGGACCCCACGCCCGGTGGGCTGCCGACGCTCGCCACGGAGCACGCCTGCTGGGCTGCTCGGCAGAGCACCCCACGGAAAGATCTCACAGACCGAGGCAAACAGAGCGCCGCTCAGATGCGGCAGTGCGTGGGCCCCGTGGCACCGGACGGCCAAGGGCCAAACCATGAGCAGCAGGATCGGCCCGAGGACCGACCGGAGGAGGGCCCGTCCAGCTGGAAAGGTGCAACCGAAAGCAACAACTTTCTGCCCGCAGGGAGGAGGGCGGAGGAGGGCGGAGGAGGATGAGAGAGGGGAGGAGGAGAAGGAGGAGCAGGAGCAGGAGGAGGAGAGGAGGAGGAGGGGGGAGGAGGAGGGGAGGAGGAGGGAGGAGGGAGGAGGAGGAGGGCGGAGGAGGAGGAGGAGGAGGAGAGGAGGAGGAGGAGGAGGAGGAGGAGGGCGGAGGAGGGCGCAGGAGGTGGAGGAGGAGGAGGAGGAGGAGGAAGAAGATCAGGAGGAAGAAAAAGGCACAGGAGCAGGATGAGGAGGAGTGCGGAGTATGGCGTAGGAGGAGAGCCGAGGAGGATGATGGAGGAGGGCGGATGGTGGCTGAGGAAGGAGGAAAGGAAAACGAGGAGGAGGAGGAGGAGGAGGAGGAGGAGGAGGAGGCGGGCGGAGGGCCGCGCGGCCCCGGCGGCGGCGGCCGGCGGTCCTCCGAGAGGTCCCGGTAGGAGGCCGCGAGCGCGCGGGGCCCGACTTTGTCTGACAGCCCGCCGACGGTCACCTAGGCGGCGAGGGGCGAGGCGAGGCGAGGCGAGGCGCCGGTGACCGCTCCCAGCGGGGCCGGCGGGAGCGCGCCACGGAGGCGGCGGCGGTGGGGCCGTAGCCCCGCATCGGAGGTGGTCCCTTGGAATACTCCTCCTCCTCCTCCTCCTCCTCCTCTCCTCCCCTCTCCTCCTCCTCCTCCCGTCCCTCCCTCCCTCCCTCCCTCCCTCCTCCTCCTCCTCCTCCCTCCTCCTCCTCCTCCTCCTCCTCCTCCTCCTCCTCCTCCTCCTCCTCCTCCTCCTCACTCTCTCCCTCCCTCCCTCCCTCCCTCCCTCCCTCCTCTCAGGGGTGGTATCCGGAAGAACTACGTCTGCTCAGCAACCACAGGGCACCAAACAGTCAGCACGTATCATATAAGGGCGCGCGGGAAGAATGCAAGAGCCTTGGAGGCTCGCGCGGTTGTTTTTCGAACGAGGCTGGCCAGCGAAAGCTGCTAAGGATGGGCGCAAGGGGCAAGGATGCAAAGGTACCCTTGGGAGGGTTGCCCTTCTTTCCTACGCGGGTGGGCTGTGGGTGGCGACGTCCGAGCCCGACCCCGCCAGCCATCGGTTCTCTTGCATCGACAGAAGGTGGGGGGTAGGGATCGGATCTCGCCACATGCGCGACGAGTTCCGAACCCTGACCCGGCCGCCCATCGATGATCGGCGAGGGTGGGGCTCAGATGTCGCCGCCGAGGGAGGCAGACGCCCGAGGAGGCAGCTGCCCGGGCCCCGGGCGCTGCCCCCGCGCCGAGGAGGCGCGGGGGCAATGGGAGCTGCCACGCGCTCCCATGGATTTGCCGCGCAGGAGCTGCACAGGCGCTGGCGGTGCCCACGGTGGGAGCGAATGGGACGCTGGCGCTATAGGGCGCCGTGTTTTGCGAGGGTTCCACTCCATCGGGGTGCATCCGCAGCCTCCCGAGGGCACCCCGAGGGCGTGGAATCCTTGCAAAACACGGCGCCCTTGCGCCCTTGGGAGGGGCCCGCTGCAGCCTGAGCGACGAGACGAAACGGGTCCTACACGAGATGACGCAGAGGGACCACGACTTTCGAACACCACCCCCAGAAAAGAGCTGGTCCGGCGTAACGCTGTGGGGAAGTGGTTGTGTGCAAGATCGGCAACCTCTGGGGACACGATTCTTGCACACCACCCCGACGAACAAGCTGATCCGGCACAAGGTGCGCCCGCGGGGCGGGGGCCATAAATCGTTCGAAAAGGACGGCGATTCTCGGACCCGCTGCAACCTTGGAAGGGCCCCAGGGACACACACATTCGCTGGCCCAAAAGGCCAACGGCGTGCTAAGACCTCTGGTAGTTCGCGCGCGCGCGTGCAGCCCTTGGGGGTCGCTGTGCGAAAAGTACCCCGGGCGATCTCTGGCAAGGTCCGATCAGAGATGGTTCTGCTCCTAGGCGCCGGCCTCGGGGCTCCCCACAGAGCCCCAAGAAGGGCCAAGAGGCCCCTAGAAGGTCCAAGAGCGTTCCGAGACGCCACTAGACCGCTCCAAGAAGCACAATATGGCCCCCAGATAGCCATCGATAGTGTAATCGATAGAGGACGATTCGATCGTGAGACCGACAGTGAAATCGATTCAATGAGATCGATAGGGAGATCGATCGCGAGATCGCTCGTGCGATCTCTAGTGAGATCGCTTGCGACATCGACTGTGGGATCGATTGTGAGATTGATTGTGATATTGATAGAAAGGTGGGAAATGAGATCGATGTTGAGACCGATCGATAAGAAGATCGACCAGTAACCCGGGGGGAACCTGGGAACCGCGCCGCCCACCGAAATCGGCCCGGGAACCAGGAACCCGGGAACCAAGAAGTGGGAACCTGGGAAACCAGCGTGCGACCAAAATCGGGGGGAAACTTTTGCCACATCCTTGAACCTCCGCTAAGACCCCTTCAAAGCAAGCACCGATTGGGGAAATACTCCAAAAATATTCCCAAAATGCTCAACAATAACTAATCAAAAAATAGCCTCCGGAATATTTTTGACTATTTCTGAATATTATATTCCTCCTGTAGAAAGACCGGCCCACAGCTTACACGCGAATGTCCGCGCAGACGGCCACGCTTCCATCCGTCGAGCACCAGAGCGGCGATCGGAGGCGCAGACGCACGGGGAGGGCCAGTCGAGGTACGGTATAGGATCGCACGGCGCCGGCGCGCGCAAAGGTTTTTTGGTCGACCCAGCAGGGGGTCCAGCTGAGAGGGGATGGTGCAATCGATGTGGGGCACGTGTATTGCAAACGTATTGCGCCGGAGAGTTGGATTGCATTGCGTTCCAAAAAAATATATTGTGCCCGAGTACCAAGCACTTGCGCACCGGAATGTTTAGCACTTTCCATATTTTTCGCAACCCCACAAACCTATAAAATTGCACTACTCCCTTTTCGCTGGACCCCATTCTGGTCAACCAGAAAAATGTTCGACACCGCGCCGATCGTTCAACCTTGGAACCGATCGCGGCCCCGATCGTTCAAGGCCCCTTGTCACCGTGTCCCTCGGCGCTTCTGCGTCGCAGAATTTGATTTTGAACGCAACGCCTTCGCTGGCGTCGCCGGCGCGCCAGAGCTGCAGGAACCTACCGCAAAGGCAATGAGGCCCGATTGAAGGGCCACTGGGCCGGGTCAGACTACATTGCGCCCAGGACACAGAGGGATTGAACAGGATTAGGGCGGTTGTCGACACAGGACATACCATCGCCGATGCTGAATTTGACCTCCCAGATATCCCCCCAACGATCACGGAGGAGAAGGAGGAGGGAGGCGGCGACGGCAACAAGATATCGGACCGAGCTCGTGTCTACAACGAGCACCGACATTGCGAAGGCAAACCGTAACCTGTGACCTATCGGGCGCTTCAAAAGCGAGTTACGGAAACCCTCCCTCCAGGAAAGGTTGGAGCCCCGAGTTGTCTTCGCTCGACCACCGAAATCGAGACACCCAGGACAGGCCCCAACTGGGGCCGATGAGGAATCAAAAACGCATCGCGTAGGCTACGAGTTCTTTGAAGCTGGCGGGGGAGGAAGACGGGGGAGGTCGGAGGCTCGAACGAGAAAGAGAAGGACGAGTGGGGGCCTCGGGGCAGGCGCTGGCCTTGGCCTCACTCGCGGTTCTGTGAACCTCAGTCCCCCGCCCATTTGCGGCAAGATCGTCGGACTCTCCGTTGTTCGCAAGGTCCTGTGCATGTCGAAGGAGGCTGCGATATCCTTCTCAGTGGCATGTGCACCATTGTGCTCAATCAGCGCGTTCCAGAAGCTGCCGCAGTCAGTCTACCCACTTCATCCTGGCGCTGGCTCGCCATTCTCTCACGCATCCTCTTTCGACTCGCAACAACTCGGTCTCGTCCAGCGCCGCCTGGAGGATCCGATCCGCGTTGCTGCGGGGTGCGAGCCCTGGGCGCAGCCCGCCTCCCAACTAGACGATGCACTCCTGAAACGTTGACTGCATCTCGGCGTCGGCCAGCGGAAAGACCCTATTCGCGAGACCCTGCTTGCGCGCGCTGGAGACCCGAGGGCCCTTCACTAACATGATGAAGTCGCTGATGTCCTGAATCCCGTCGAGCCTCTGCTGATGAGCACTCCAAGTCGTTGGATTGCGAGCGCCCGCGCTGTCGCCCGCCACACTGACTTTCTTCGCCACCACCCGGTTTATCTGCACACACGCTGGGCCCATCTTGATCTTGGGAAGCTCCTTGGAGTTGTCTTTATGGTGCTCCTCGCGGAGCGTCGCGGCCTGCTCGGCGTAGGCCTCCCCGCAGAGAAGGCTGGTTGAGCTATCGGCAGCTCCTCGGGCAAGGTGATCGTCACGAACGCCGCGGCCATCACCATTCTGCTACTGAAAGGTTTGCCCAGCACCGCCCGCAGCAGGAAGGGCATGACCTTTGCCATGGTGTTCACATCCATGGGCGGCAACTTCTCGATCGCATCTGGAGGCAAGCCGTATGAGCGCCCCACCTCTTGCTGCTGGTGCGCGGGGCTGCGAGCCTCGGCCGCGGCTGCGGGGCAGCGCCCTGCTGCTGGTGGGGGCTGCTGGCTGCGCCCGCCCACGCGGCGCCCGCCGCCACGCTGACGGGAAGCGTAGGCTGAGCCAGAGTGGCCCCGCCGTGCTCCGTCTGTGACGCCCTTGGACTGCCGCGGCCGCCTCCTCGGACAGGCGGAACATCGTCGGACCCGCTGCGGGTGAGCGGCAGCCGCGGGGCGTGCCCACGGAAGAGAGCGCAGCTCGATCCCGAAACGGCTCTGCACAAGAACGATACAGGCCAAGATGACCGTTGCCCATAACGAGGTGCTGCGATACAAAGGCCAGCGGACATGTCCTCTCGGGCTCCGCGATCAGGTATCGGAACGGCGTCGCATGTAGGGGGGCACCTGCCTTTCATTACTGCGGTAAGAGCGTGCTCTTGTGCGATTCGACGCGTACGAAACCCCAATCCACATCAGATGCACTTATTCGAGACGATGATGGTGTGAACGATCGACCTGCACGCATGCCCCCCGTTCTTGGAGAACCTCTGGTGGGCCAGGAGCGCCTTCCGAGATCTGGAGATAGTCCCGCAGACGGCATCAGGAGGAGGAGGAGGAGGAACCACAAGAGCTTCGTCAGGAATTGCTTGCTCAGGCTCATATAAGCCTGCTGGAGGAGGGAGGAGGAGGAGGAGGAGGAGGAGGAGGAGGAGGAGGAGGAGAAGGAGGAGGAAGAGGAGGAGGAGGAGGAGGACGGACGAGGAGTAGGAGGAGTAGGAGGGGAGGAGGGGAAAGGAGGCCCTCCCTGGCGTTTGGGCCTTCGCTGGGGGCCTCCTGGAGGCCCCCTTGCGCCGGGGCACCTGCGTCGAACAAGAAAACGCGCGCGGGTTTCTGGCTCAGGTCGGGCGCGCGGAGCGCCAAACGTTTATATCTACGTGCGCGTGTGTGCTTCGATACGTCGGCGAGGAGGAGGGGGAGGAGGAGGCGGAGGAGAAGGTGGAGGAGGAGGAGGAGGAGGAGGAGGAGGAGGAGGAGGAGGAGGAGGAGGGGGGAGGATGAGAAAGAGGAGGAGGAGGAGGATAGGAGGAGGACAGAGATAGAGGAGGAGTGTTCTTTCCTGGACGTCTGCGAAGCATGGAGCGCACCCAGCGAACGTTCACGGCATACGGTCGCCGGGGCTCGGCGGGCCCAACTGTCGCGGAGAACACCTGGGCGCTGCTTCACGGGAGGGCGGCAGTATTAGGTCGGGCGTGTCCCCCCACAGGCGGCGTGGGGGCGAAACATCAAAATGATACATCCAAGGATCGTGCCATATGCAACCTACAACACAACTCGTCCCCAGGCTTTTTTTTTTTTTTTTTACTATTTTTGAATGTTCCTCCTGTCGAGGGACAGGCCCGACGTCAGAGTAGGTCGGGCATGTCCCCCATGCACTGGAATGCGAAGAGTTCGGTGGTGTCTTATGGGAGCCTCCCATACCATCAAGTCGGCCCATCCAATCGACGATAATCGACGCTAGTCGACGCAAGTTGACGCCGAATCGACGCTAAATCGGCGCTACCTCATCGACTCCCAGACGCCAATCGACGCTAATCGACGCTAAAGATGGAGTTACGAGGGTACACAGGGCTCCCATGATTTGCTACCGACGAAGAGGGGACCATTAAAGCCGGGGAGCTATCATGGCCCCGTCCAAACTGTCCACGTCTCCCTTTCTCCGAGACCATCTTCTCATCCCAAGTAGTTGTTGTTTGACGGCTCTGGGACCCGCCCTAAGCCCTGGAAGGCGCTTTGCTTCAACCTCGGGGAGGACTACTTGTACGGCATGCTGCCCCCACTGCTTGCCCTCCGCTGGGCGAACGAGGCGTGCAGGCAATTCCTGGCTTGCCTGAAATCCAGATCTCCTCTCCGGCCTCGCCCCCCCCCCCCGCCCCCCCTCGTCCCCCCTCCATGCAAGTAAACTCTTCGGAGTCCAAGGAAGCAGGGCCTCACAGTGAAAGACCTCAAGACTCCAATCCCATCCCCGGTAGATACATCGAGAGTCATCGGCACCACCACCACGAACCAACGTGAGGAGCCACGAAGGGTTCCACTGGCGGTATGGGCCCCCTGCTTTGCGGCGTCCCGCTCGAGGCGCCTCCAGTCACGGGCCAAGGTGGAGGTCGTGGACCCGGCGGTGGTCTCGCTTCCTGAGACACCCGATGCCTCGACTCGTTCAAGAAGCTGTCCCTGGAATCCCCGACCGCTCCCCCGGGACCGGCTTCTCATTCCGAGACGGTCCGGGCGCCCGGCGAATGGCCCCAGGAGGCTGACAACTGAGAAAACCTACGTCCCCAGACCCCCGACGTCGTGATTTTTTCATGACGCTACAGCCCCGAGAGGTCCAGACCCATTCCCTGGGACAGGTGTCTCATCCCGAGTCGCTTTTTGACGGTCCCGAGGCCCAGCAGGGGCCCCCAGGGGCCGAAGATAGCGAAGAGCCTCCCGTCGCGACTGCTTCTCCGGACTCGAGGAAGTCCGGGCCCTGGCCTGCTCCATCTATGCGCTGGAGCTCTGGGCCTCCTCCCCTCCGAGCCAGAAGCCGCGCCCCGCCGGGGCGGCTCGCCATCGTGGTGGCCATGTTGGTCGCCTGCTCGAAGTCCCCCCGCGCCCCCATGGTGGCTTCCACGCCGCCGTTGTGGAGTTCCTCCGCCGCGCGGCCGCCTGCGGCGGCCGGGCCACGCCGCCGTCGCGGCCGTCGCCGCCGCGGTGGCGGTGGTCGTCATCGGCGTTTTCGGCTTCGTCTTCGGCGTCGTCGTCGTCGCCGTCGTCGCCGTCGCCGACGCCCGATTCCCTTTCTCTCTCATTCTCACTCTCGCACTCCCTCTCTCTCTCTCACTCTCTCCTCACTCTCGCATTCTCGTTCTCGCTCTCTGTCCCTTCCTCTGTGTACCACTCTCTCTCTCTCACACTCTCGCTCTCTCACACTCTGGCTCTCTCTCTCTCTTTCTCTTTCTCCATCCACCTTTCTATACCGATATGTATACATGTAAGTACGTATATGTTAGACTCGCCCCTCTCTCTCCCTCTGTCACTCTCTCTCTCTCTCTCTCTGTTATCTTTCCTCTTTTGTGAGCACGTGCTTATACACAAGATGTTCGAGGCTCGCTCCGCTTCGCTTCAAGCCTTGGTCCACGCATCGCTCATGGGGCGTGAGGGGCCCACCGGAACTCGGGAGCAGGAACAGTCGGAGGAGCTGGGTGTGGGCCAGGACGGGGCAGCAGCGGAGAGAGCGAACTCCTTGTACAGCACGTGGCTTTGCTGCCCCTCAGGGGGGCCGTTTTGAGAAAGAATGCGCAGGAGCCGCCGATGCGAGACAGACTCCCTACCAGGAACGAACTCTGCCACACCTGACAGCAGCAGCTGTGGAGCCCGCTTGTGGAGCCCGCTTGACGAGACGGGCAATTCAGGGGGGCGGGGGAGCACGGAGGACGAGACGAGGGCTTCTCGTCCTCCTCCTCATCCTCCTCCTCCTCCGCCTCCTCCTCCTCCTCCTCCTCCCCCTTCCTCCTCCTCCTCATCCTCCTCCTCCTCCTCCTTCTCCTCCTCCTCCCCCTCCCCCTCCCCTCCTCCTCCTCCCTCCTCCTCCCTCCTCCTCCTCCTCCTTCCTCCTCCTCCTCCTCCTCCTCCTCCCCCCTCCTCCTCCTCCTCCTCCTCCTCCTCCTCTCCCCTCCTCCTCCTCCTCCTCCTCCTCCTCCTCCTCCTCCTACCTCCTCCTCCTCCGTCCTCCTCCTCCTCCTCCTCCTCCTCCTCCTCCTCCTCCTCCACCTCCTCCTCCTCCTCCTCCTCCTCCTCCTCCTCCTCCTCCTTCCTCCTCCTCCTCCTCCCTCTCCTCCTCCTCCTCCTCCTCCTCCTCCCTCCTCCTCCTCCTCCTCCTCCTCCTCCTCCTCCACCTCCTCCTCCTCCTCCTCCTCCTCCTCCTCCTCCTCCTCCTCCTCCCCCCCCACCCTCCTCCTCCTCCTCCTCCTCCTCCTCCTCCTCCTCCTCCGTAGCCATTTTGGCTCATGCTGGCTCGAACTGCCCCAGGCGCGGCGGGGAGGCGGTGCGAGCATGGTGGCTGCGGGCGGCGCCCCTGCGAGGGCGACCTTGGAGCCGTCGGCGGTGCGCAGTGCTAGGCGTGCACGCGCTCGGGAGGCAGTGGACGGCGCAGTCCGCAACGCGATCGGTAAGACCAACCTGCTGGAGGAGAGGCTCGAGCTCGCCGAGTCAGCCCTGTCGGCGCTGGTTGGCGATTCGCTGCTTGCGGACCGCGTTGCTGCCGTCTTACCGGCGCTGCAGGACCTGGCCGATGGTCGGGTGGCTTCATGGCTGGACCGTCTCGTGGCGCTTTATGCGCGCGCCCGTGCACTGGAGGGTCGGATCAGCACGGCGTCGCCGTCGGAGCTCCGCGCGGCCGCCAAGGGACAGCGGCTGGGCGCGGAGAGCGACGTGGTCATCTCGGGCGAGAGGTGCGTCGCGAAGCACGTCTCTGTCAGGGATGGGGGCTGCGAGGCGTCGGACACCGTGGGATCCACATCATGGTGTCTTTCGGCTCCCTTCTTCCGACCTGGCGCAGGGGCTCACTTCACAGTGCGGGTGAGGGGTGATGCCCAGTGTGACGTGCGGCTGGAGGCACTTGCTCAGTCTGCGACGTGGCAGCCAACTGTGCTGGGTCATGTCTTTGATGAGGGCAGCTCCGGGGTTCACTGGGCCGCCCCACTCGAAGGGCCCAGCATAGACGGCTTCTGTCATGCTCTTCATGGTGGCGGCAAGGGCGAGGCACGGAGTTGGCCAACCGCCCCCCCAGTAAGTCCGTTTTCTTGGCCGATCGGTCCTTCCCAGGCCGGCGTGCTGCAGGGCCCCCATCGATGGCTCGGCGGACGACCTCGAGGTGAAGGACATGAGAAGCTGGAGGAGGTGGGGCCGCTCTCCGTCTTGGGCGAGATCTCGGGCGGCACTGCTGGATGTCATGATAAGAGAGAGCGTGATCCACCGCCGCTTTACTGTGGAAAATTCCCCCCCCTCTTCCTCCGGAACCCAGGGTTCCCCCCCCCCCCCATCGGTTCCCCCCCCCCCCCCCCAGAAAATGCCCCCCCCTGCTGGGACGCCCCCCCCTCCCTCCCCCGGCAACCCCCCCCTCCCCAAACCCCTCCCCCCCCCTCCCCCTCGAAAACCAAAGGGGTCACTACTGGTTCGAACCCCTCCCCACCCCCCCTCACCGCCAGCAAACGACTCCCGGTCCCTACCACCGTCCGCACCACATCCCCCACTGTTGTTCCCAGCACCACTGTCCTCACCACCACTGTCCCCACTGGTTCCACCACCGTCCCTACTGTCCCCACCAGTGCCCCCACCACTGTCGCACTGTCCCCACTGTCCCCACCACTGTTCCCACCACGGTTCCACTCTCCCCACTTTCTCCACGGCCCCAACCACTGCCCGACTATCCCCACTGTCCCCACTGTCCCACTGACTCCTCCGCTGTCCCACTGAGCTGTCCCACTGTTCCCACCACTGTCCCCACTGTCCCCACCACTGTCCCCACTGTACCTCTGTCCCATTGTCCCACCGCCGTCCTCGCCACCGCCTTCACCACTGTCCCCACCACCACTGTACCCTCCACTGTCCCACTGGTTCCACCACATTCCCACTGTCCCCACACCACTGTCCCCACCACCACCGTCCCCACCACTGTCCCACTGTCCCCACTGTTCCCACCATTGTCCTCACCACTGTCCCCACCACTGCCGTCCCCACCACTGTCCCACTATCCCCACCACTGTCCCGCTGTCCTCTCACCACTGTCCCCACCACTACCGCCCCGACCACTGTCCGCCCCCGCCCTCCCGGTTTTCGAGGGGGGGGGGTCGAACCGGTAGTGACCCCCCCTCCTTTTCATGATGGACTGGGGGGGGGAGGGGTTCAAACCGGTAGTGACCCCCCCCCGGTTTTCCGGAGGGGGGGGGAGGGGTTGGAACCCGTAGTGACCCCCCCCCGGTTTTCCGCCAGCAGCGGTAGAACACGCTCTTTCCATGATTATCCCAGTGCGACCCTACCTAGGAGTTGGAACCCCTAGGAAAGCAGCATTAGTAGTAACAGTAACGCTAAGCTAAAGCTAAGCTAAAGCTAAGCCACAGCTAAGCTAAAGGTAAGCTAAAGCTAAGCTAAAGCTAATTTAAAGCTAAGATAAAGCTAAACTAAAGCTAAGCTAAAGCTGAGCAACAGCTAAGCTAAAGCTAAGCTACAGCTAAGCTAAAGCTAAGCTAAAGCTAAGCTAAAGCTAAGCTAAAGCTAAGCTAAAGCTAAGCTAAAGCTAAGCTAAAGCTAAGCTAAAGCTAAGCCAAAGCTAAGCTAAAGCTAAACTAAAGCTAAGCTAAAGCTAAGATACAGCTGAGCTCAAGCTAAGCTAAAGCTAAGCTAAAGCTAAGCTAAAGCTAAGCTAAACTCTAAGCGAACAGCTAAGCGAAACGCTAAGCTAAAGCTAAGCCACAGCTAAGCTAAAGCTAAGCTAAAGCTAAAGCTAAAGCTAAAGCTAAAGCTCCCAAGGGACTGGGGGGAACCGCTCCCAGGGGACTGGGGGAACCGCCCGGGGCGATTTCCATTGCCCGGCCCCTTTAAGCTAACAGAGTAAGAACCCTTCTAGGCAGAGCCTAGGTAGGGAATAAAGAAGATGCATGCCCTCTGTCGGGAAGGGCCCTCTGGGCCAGGACCCAGGTGGAGGGTGGAGTGGTCCTGAGGGAGGTAGGGAGGTTCGGGCCCAGGTGGCTGGAGGAGAGGCCGACCCTCTTGCTGTTTCCCCGACGTCGGGGAAGGGCCCAGGTGGTGGGAGGAGTGGCCGAGGCCCAGGTGGTGGGAGGAGAGGCCGAGTGCCCTGCCCAGGTGGTGGGAGGAGAGGCAGAGGTGTTTCCCCCGACAGGCAAGCAATTTCGTGACAATCTTTGGTGGCACAGCTCTTAGAGTGCTACGCAGGCTGGAGATCGGCCGCAAGACTCGCCTTCTGTCTTGGTCTACTGCAGCGTCTGGCGGTGGGCAGGCTGCGGGTGTCTTTCGGTCGAGCCAGCCGTCCTCCTTCAAGGGCGAGGGCCAGGACTGGGAGAACATGGTGCTGGTGATCCGCGAGCTGGCCGCGCAGCTGGGGCCCCTCCCCTCCTACGGGAAGCCGCGCGGCCACGGCTGGTCCCATCATCCACGTCTTTGCTGGTGCCTCGACTGCCTGGAGGAGCAGAACAGGTTCGTGGAGACGTCTTGGCGCCTGGACGATCCCAAGCCTTTGTGGGATCGCGGCTTTCGTCGTGGTCGGAGGCTCTTGAAGAGGTCCCTCCTGCCGACGCGGTGAAGGTCGTGGTCTGAGTGGAGGCGTGGGCCCTCCCTCCTTCCCCCCCTCCCCTCGTCTTGCTCCTCCTCGGGGCTTCGGTGCTGTGGTGGAGGGAGGCTGCGGGCCGCGGAATACTAACTCCTCCTCCTCCTCCTCCTCCTCCTCCTCCTCCTCCTCGTCCTCCTTCTCCTCCTCCTCCTACTTCTCCCAACGGTCCGTTTGTTCTGCCGCTCTGCCCCTCTTTCTGGTGCTCCGTTTTGCTGTTCCTTTCCCCCCCTTCTCCTTCTCCTCCGCCTGCGCGGGGCGGTCGTGCCGCTCTTTGGGGCCTCGTTGACGCCCACTCCACCCGTCACGGCCACAGCTGGGCCGTCTTGGAATGCATTCGAAGCCCCTCGTGGCCACGTTCGAAGCATCTCGGGCTCGTCTCGAGCTCTCGTGGGGCCGCCTCGGAACTTCTTCGGGCAACTGCTCTGTTGTGCCCATTGCGAGCGCCTTTGGGGCTCCCTGGAAGCCTTCTTGGGCCATTCTGCGCTCCTTCGGAAAGCCTCCTCTGGCTTGGACTGGACCCACTTTGGCCCCGCGGGGCCCGGCCATCTTGAGGCCCTCTAGGGGTGGTATTCCCCTCTTGGGCTGCATCGGGCTTCCACTGGGCTCTTCGTGTGACGTCTTGGGGCGATTCTGGGATCTTGGAGGTTGCGAGACTGGAACATGCGATCACAGCAACTCCTTTGCACGTCTCTCTGTTCTGTTCCAATGATGTTGGCCTCCTGGGTGCGTACGTGTTCAAGGCCCTCTCTGGGCCTCCTTGAGCCGTGCCTGAAGCCCCTGGGGGCATCTTGGCGCCACCCGTGGTCGCCCTTGGCCGTCGTGGTCGTCTGCGGGAGCTCCTGGGCCGGTCGCGGAGCCCCCGCCGGGCCCTCGCGGGCTGCTGGGAGGCGGTCTGGGGCAGTCTGGGGCACTCCTGGGAAGGGGGCGGGGGCCGTCCGAGGCCGTCGTGGTGGCTCTGGAGAGGGAGTGATGGCGTCTGGCTATCTTGGGGGTGGGGGGCCCGATATGACTCGAAGCCTCGTGGTGGCTTCTCGAGGTCCATTGGGAGGCTTATGGCAGCGTTTCTCCTTCGGCGTCTCGACATCGGGCGGAAAGGGGGAGGGGGGGGTCTGGCTCCAGACCTCTGCTTAGTGCGACTGCTTGCAAGAGTGCTGCCTCTGGGGGAGGCTCCACCCGCTCGAAACAGGCGCCAAAAGCACGGCCAAACCCTACTCCATGGGGGGGAAGGGTTGGGGGGAGGCCCGCGCCGACCGATCGGCAAAACAACTAATACAACAACTATCACTGTCGGGGGACCTCTTGGCACCGTGTTTGAGACCTCTTGGGGCGTCTCAGGGGGCCTCTTGGCGCCTCTCCGAATGACTTGAAGGCCCGTCTCATCCTCCCCGCGGGGAGCGAGGGGCGTGGCTCGAGGGGGGCGGCCCTCGCAGGACGGCCCAGCATCGGGGGTTGCTGAAGGTACCCCTGGCCCAAGGTGCCCCCAGCTTCCCGCTCCATTTTGGAGCCCTTCGGGCCCCCTGGGCCTCGCGAGGCCCCCGTGGAGAAGTCCTGGGGGCACGTGGGGCCAGAGAGGCGCTGCTGGCAACACCCGACAGCAGCGGCGTCGGTGCCCGAGGCCGTGCACGGCGACGGCAAAAAAAGCCGAGCACCGAGCGAGCCGACTGCGCGAAGCCGAGAGGCACCGACGTCGACAGGCCGCAGAGGCAGCCCAGCAGGGCGCAGCGGCGCGGCAGCGACACGAGAACCGCCCGCGGGCCAGCCGAGCCGACCGAGCACCAAGCGGCTGCGGCGCAGCCGAGCCGACCGAGCCGCGAGCACGACCGAGGCGCGGCGCGGCGGCGCGGCGGCGGGGCGGCGCCCATGCACGTCGCCAGCTCGGCCAAGAGCACCCTGCGGGTCTCCGGCAGGTGGCGCCTGGGCCCGCCGGCCACGGGCGCCACGCCGGCGGCGGGGGAGAGGCGGCGCGGCTGCGCCCGTGAGCCGCGGAAAGAAGCGTGCCTCCACTGGAAGAGAGAGCACGCGTTCTGCGGACGCTTGGAAGAGGGCCCAGGCCCCCGACGTCATGATCTGTTCATGACCCGACCCCCAGGCGTCTGGACCCTTTCCCGGGACCGGCTTCTCCACCTGCGTCGTTTTTTGACGGTCCCGAGGCGCGGGAAGGGCTCCCCAAGGGCCGAAACTAGCAACACACCTCCCGTCGTGATTTTTCTCATGAAGGGTCTGGGAAGATCGCTTTCTGTGGACGCTTGGAAGAGGGGTGGGGTTCGAACCGCCCCCCCCTCCTGAGTTGCAAGGCGAGGGGGGGGGTTCGAACCGGGAGGGTCCTCTCCCCCTCAAGGGGGGGGAGGGATTCGAACCCGAAGGAAGGGGGCACCCTTTAGGGGGGGAGGGGTTCGAACCAGGCAGGGAGTGCCAACCCCTCCTCTCTCTGGGGGGGGGGGTTGAACGGCCCCCCCCCCGAATTGAAGGGAGAGGGTCGAACCGGCCCCCCCCCTGGAACTGAGGACGGCAAGCGCCGGCGCAGGCGCTGGCGCCGTCGGGCAGCAACGACGACGACGACGACGACGACGACGACAACGACGAAGACGACGACGACGAAGAGAACGATGACGACGTCGTCGTTGTCGTCGTCGTCGGATCTCTCGTAATGGAGCTCTCGCGTGCCAGCCGGACGATTGAGTATACAGTGCTCCATACTGTCATGCCCCGCCAGACCCGACCCGACACGCGCGTGAAGGCCTGGCCCTGGGGGAACCGAAAGGTACCGATACCGCTGCTTCCAAGGACCTCTCCCGGGGTGCGTCCTGACCAGGACTTCGAGGAGAATCCAGCGGTGGCGACGAGGGCTTCCCACCCTGACCTTCCAGAGTGCTAAAAAATAGCCATCCAGACCGATGAACCGATGTGGACTGCCGAAAGCCTCGACAGGAATTAAGATGTCGAGGTCCTGGTGCTATTTTTTAGCCCTCCTGGAAGGTCAGGGCAGGAGGCCCCAAGAAGGGGAAAACGAGGGAAGGGTAGCGGTGAGGGTACCTTTTCCTCCTCTGAGGCCCGCTCGAGACAAGTGCCGCTCTCGCGTGACGGCCGGACGCTGCAGCACACTGGCACTCTTGGAGGCCTGGGCACCAACACCAACACAAGAGGGCTGCCTCCACAGGGGGAAGATGATCCTAGATTTCGATATGGGTGGTAATATGTCGGCCACCTTGGCAGCCATAATACTACCACCATCCCCGAGATCGGGTCCCTCTTCCCTCGGTGGAGACACATCGCCGATGTTGGTGTTGGTGTCAACCTCTAGGCCCGTCACACTCCATAATTGCTTTCGTGTCCCGCCCGCCCGGCCCGACCCGCCCAGCCAGGGCCCAGCCCGCTCGGCCAGGGCCGGCCGCGGGGGCTCTCGCGCGCCAGCTGTAGGTCGGGCGTATCCCCCTACAGGCGGATTTTGGACGAAGAATAAAACATACCCCCAGACTGCTCAAAAATATTCCCAAATAGTCAAACAAAGCGTCCCCAGGCTATTTTTGCACTATTTTGGGATATTCCTCTAGAGGGACAGGCCCGACGTAATGCCAGCTGGACGGTGCAGCATATTGCACTCCAGGGCCTGGCCCGCTCGAATAGGCGCGGCCGTTGGGGCTGTCGCGTGCCAACCAGACGATGCAAACAAATGCACTTCATACTGTCATGTCCCGCCCGCCACACCCGATCCACCCGTTCGTCGCTCATCGTCGGTCGTCTGGCACCATTCGTATGTGGTCTGTCGTCGTCGTCGTCGAAGTCGTCGTCGTCGTCGCCGTCGTCGTCATCGTCGTCAACGTCGTCGTCGTCGTCGTGCGTCGTCTGCGTTGGCGTCGTCATCGTCGTCGTCATCGCTGCCAGACGGCGCCGGCGCCGGCGCCGACACTCGCCGAGGTCGGTTCGAGGTGAGGGCCCCCCTCTGGTTCGACCCCCCCCCCTTCTCCGTTCTAGACAAGGGGGGGGGGCTGTTCGAACCCCCCCTCGCCCCCCCCAGCCCCCCCCGTTCGAACACCTCCCCCTTGGACAGGGAAGGAGGGCCCCGTTCGAACCTCCCCCTTGGACAGGGAAGGAGGGCCCCGTTCGAACCACCCCGCGGTAGGCCAGTGACCCCGGGGGAGCCCCCCATGGTTCTCCAGGGGCGCTCATTTTTTGGGGGGGATGGCCCCCTCTGGCTCCAACGTGTGAAGGGAGTTGCTCCAGGCAAGCGTTGAAAGCATAAACTTCAACTTTCGGAGGTCAATGGCAAAACTGGACAAGTGAAAAAACGGCCCTGTCCTTCCCAGGGCCCGCTGCAGTAGGAGCCCGACCACCAAAACCTTCCACAAGAACCCCAACCCTGAGACCCTAAGACGTCCATTGAAATTCAATGTGGGAACGCCATGCTTTCCACAGCAAAACCATCGAAAGCCAAAAAACCCAGGGCACCCTGGAGGCAAGCAGGGTGTTTCTTGGCATGGGTCTCCACTGTACAATCGCCCTGCCATGGGGAGCGCCGAAGGAGGAACGAAGGGGCTTTTTTCTGGCCACGGCGCGTCCCGGCCACGAACAGGTCGCCTGGCCGGCCCTACAGCCCTCCTCGAAAGCAAGCGCAAGTTTCCCACGCTGATCGACGCGCGAAACGCGGCCCACGGGGTCAGACGTTCGTGTCTGCAGTCGCCAAGTCCGGCGCGAGCATTGAAACTTTGGGGCCCTGGGGCGCCGCCACGTCGCGGGAGAAGCTTGCGTTTGATCTCGATGAGGTGGTGCAGATCTGCGGAGCGGCCCGAAACACAGAGCCCCTCCCGAACCCCAAAACCCCGCCTAAATTGAAAATACCCCCAAAATGCCCAAACCATACGCAAAAATTGACAAAACATCGTCCCCAGACCATGTTTTGACTAGTTTTGAATCTTCCCCCTGTAGAGGGACAGGCCCGACGTAACGCCTAACGCCGCGCAGATTCGTTCCAACAATTTTTCTGCAGCAGCCTGCCAGGACGAATGGCGGCTCCCTCTCGAGAGGAAAGGCTTTCGCCTCAGCGCCGAGGTCACATGGGCCTCGAGAGTTTGCAGAACGGCCTCAGAAATAGAAGGCAACTCATCTTCAAAGTGCGGCTGTCGCCGGAAGGCCCGGAGCAGTTCTTACAGGTCTGCTACGGTTGAGTCGGGCCTGTCCCTCCACAGGAGGAAAATTCAAAAATAGTCAAAACAAATAGTCTGGGGACGATGTTTCCACTAGTTTAGCGTATGTTTAAACATTGTTTGAATGTGTTCAAATGTTCGTCAACCTTCGCCTGTAGGGGGACATGCCCGACCTAAGGCTACAGTTGCTTGCTTTCAAAAAAGGAACGCGGTTCCTTTCCAAAATATGGCTCTCGCCCCAGCGCTACGCACAGTCGCCGTGAAGTTTGCGACATGTTCAAGGGTTCGTATGGTTGAAGTCCGAGGAGATCCTGCCCCGACTGAGGGTTGTCAGGACGCCACAGTTATGTTGAGTCACGGTGTTGAAATCCAGCGAATAGGTTTTTGGTAAGATTTTAAAGTGTAAGGACAACAGAGTCACGTTGATCCACGGCGCTTCATTCCCACGACTGCTGCTTTGGCACGATCGAAGATTCATAGACGGTTGTCTTCTCATGGGCCACTTGCCGTACTGAACAGAAGCTCAGTACGGGGGCCTAGGAAAAGCGAACTTGGAGGGAGGGCTTGTTGCAACATCATTGATGCGTCTTGGGTTTGCACTGGTCCTCCTCCTCCTCCTCCTCCTCCGCCTCCTCCCCGAAAGCCCGCAGTCCTAGCCTTTCACCCTGAGTTCGGCTTTTCAGCCCGAGTCGTTTCGAGCGGTCCCAGGGTTAGGTCGGGCCTGTCCCCCTACAGACGGATTTTGGACGGAAAATTCAAAATACGCAAACAAATACAAACAAAAATGAAAAATACTAGAAAAATCGCCCCGATACGATTGTTTGACTAGTTTTGAATATTCCTCCCGTGGAGGGACAGGCCCGACTGAATCCCAGGGCCCAGCGAGGGCCCCAAGAGGCAGCACACGGCGCAAAACCTCAGCACCGATGCTGTTGTTGAGTGTTTGGGGCCTGGGAGGCTCGGTGGCCTTCGGCCACAGCTCGGGCCTCGAGCGGCCGCCCGGGACGAGCCAGACCCCCCCCCCGGAACGCTGTCGGCGAGGCGAGGCTGCTGGAGAGCACCCCGAGACTGGAAAGGCTCCGGGAACCTACGAAGGCGCCCGAACACCGCAGACCCATAGAAGAAGAAACAAGAAACCGAGCAGATAGCGCGGAGCGCGCCAGGGGCGGCGCTGGAGGCGCCGCCGGGGGGCCCAGGCGCGGATCCAAGAAATCCGCGCGGAGCGCCAAAAGTGTATGCTTAGGTCGGGCATGTCCCCCTACAGGGGGATTTCGGGCTAAAAATTTGAAATAGTTCAAAGATACCCCCACAGAGCCAAAAAATGCTAAAAAAAATCGTCCCCCGACGATTTTTCTGAACTATTTTTGAATACTCCTCCTGTAGACGGACAGGCCCGACCTCAGCTTATGTCTGTGTGGTTGCTTCTCCTTCGAACTCAGCACCTCGAGGGCCGCACCTCGAGCCTCGAGCCTCGAGCTTGGAGGGAAAATTCAAAAACAAAAAAAAAAAGGTTCCAAACAATTGGTCAAAGTGATTAGTCGAACATGGTCAACAAAAAAACGCCCCCCGACTAAGTATTGTTTTGTTTTACCCTTTCGAACATTCCTCCTGTGGAGGGACACGCCCGACTTCAGCCCAGAGAGGCCAGCGAGGCCAGCGGCACGCACAACCCCCCGGGGCGGGGGCACATCTCGTCCGGCTCCGCGAACTGCGTCACGCCGCCGGTGCCCCTGACAACCCCCGGTGCCCCACCGCGGCGGCGGCGGCGGCGGAGGCGCGAGAGCAGGATTCGGGGAGAGGCTCCTCCTCTTCCCTCCTCCTCTTCCCTCCTCCTCCCTCCCTCCCTCCTCCCTCCTCCTCCCTCCCTCCCTTCCTCCCTCCTCCCTCCTCTCCTCCCTCCCTCCTCCCTCCCTCCCTCCCTCCTCCTCCTCCTCCTCCTCCTCCTCCTCCTCCTGCTCCTCCTCCTCCTCCTCCTCCTCCTCCTTTTCCTCCTCCTCCTCCTCTCCCTCCTCCCTCCTCCCTCCTCCCTCCTCCCTCCCTCCTCCCTCCTCCCTCCTCCCTTCTGGAGGCCTCCTGGAGGCCTGGAGAGCCGTCGGAAGGGTGTCTCGGGCGGCGCGGGAGCGTGTTAGGTCGTTCTTTACGTTCTGGGGGCTCCTTGGGGTCGTCATGGGCTGTCTTTCGGCGTCTTGGGGTCTTCCCACGGGAAGCCGGGAGGCGCGGTACTGGCCAGATGTCAGGGGATGTGTCCCCCTGGGAGTCCCACTTTGAAAAAAAGGAATTCTGGGAATTCCCTTTTCTTTAAATTCTCGATCTTCGAGGGTTGGAAGCGGGAATACGAGAAAAGGCGGAAAACATGGGAAAAGCAATGGGAAATCAACGATTTTACCCTCTTTGGGCTCTCTCGGGACGGCTCTCGCAGCTCTCTTGGGCTGTTCTTAGAGCCTCGTCGGGGTCTTTTTGGGGCCTCTCAGGGATCGGGTGCGTGTTGGGGGCCTCTGGGGGGGTCCCGGAGGCCTCTCGGATGTCTCTGAAGCCTCCTGCTCCCGCTCTTGGGCACATCTTGGGCTTGTTCTGGGGTGGTCTAGGGCTGTCCTGGGAGCATCTTCGGCAGTCTTGGAGCCTTCTTGGCCCGTCTTGGGGCCGTCCTGAGGGCCTCTGGGATGGTCTTGGGGCGGTCTTGGGAGCCTCTCCGGCCCTCTTGGACCGTTGGAAGCTCGAAAACGCGAGAAGCCAAAGACATTGAAAAAAAACAATGAAAATCTACGATGTTGGCCTCTTCGGGCCGTCCCTGGACGCCTCTCGGACCTCTCTTGGGGTCTCTTGGGGGTTACCTGGGAGCCTCGAGAGCCGTCGGGAGGCTGACTTGGGCTGCTTGGGAGCGTCTTGGACCATCCTTTCGCATTCTGGGCGCTCCTGGGAGTCGTCTTGGGCCCTCCTGGAGCGCTGCGGAGGCTCACCAGAACGCCCAGGGGAGCGGTACAGGGAGCGTCCCCGAGATGTGGTGGGGAGGTGTGGCACCCGGGGCCGGGGGGGGCGGTATACATACCTATACGACCACCCTTCGGGTGATAAGGAGGTTCGGGGGGGGGAGGAACCAACGTCTCACTCGATCGGTCTCATTATCGATCTCACTATCGATCTCAGTATCGGTCTCGCTCGATCGATCTCCCTCGATCGATCTCACAATCGATCTCACCCGATCTATCTCACAATTCATCTGACTATCGATCTCACAATCGATCTCACAATCGATATCACATTCGGTCTCACTACCGATCTCACTATCGATATCACAACCACTCTCACAATCAATGACATCACCATCATCATCAACAACAACATCAACATCAACATCATCAGCACCAACATCATCATAATCGGGACACCGTCCTCATCATCAACACCAACATCATCATCATCATCATCATCAACAGCATCATCATCATCATCATCATCATCATCATCATCACGGTCATCAACATCATCGGGACACCACCATCATCATCATCACCATCATCACAATCATCATCATCAACATCATCATCATCAGCAGCATCGGGACACAGTCATCGTCATTATCATCATCAGCAGCAGCCTCATCATCGGGACACCATCATGATCAACATCGCTATCATCATCATCATCATCGTCATCATCATCGGGACACCATCATCATCATCTCATCCTCATCATCGGTATCATCATCATCAGCATCATCAACATCATCATCAGCATCATCATCATCGTCATCATTGGGGCACCATCATCAACATTACCAACATCAGCATCAACATCATCATCATCATCACCATCGGGACGCCATCATCATCAACATCATCATCATCACCATCAGAATAATCATCATCGGGACGCCATAATCATCAACCCCATCATCATCAACATCATCATCATCATCGGGACACAAGCATAATCAGCATCATCAACATCAACATCATCATATTCATCATCATCGGGACACCATCATCGTCATCATCATGATCATCAACATAATCATCATGATCATCATCATCCTCATCATCGGGACACCATCAGCATCATCATCATCGTCATCATCATCATCGACATCATCATCATCATATTCACACGGGACACCATCATCACCATATCATCATCATCATCATCATCGTCCTCATCATCATCATCAGCATCATCATCATCATCATCAGCAGCATCATCATCATCGTCATCATCATCATCAGCAGCATCATCATCAGCATCATGATCATCATCATCATCATCATCATCATCTCATCATCATCATCATCATCATCATCATCATCATCATCATCATCATCATCGCGGGACACCGCGGGACACCGGCGGGACACCGCGGGGCACCGCGGGACACCGCGGAACACCGCGGGACACCGGCGGGACATCGCGGGCCACCCGCCGCCCGGAAGGGAGTCATTTGGTCCGGCCGCGCCTCAGCCACACGGGGCGCCAGCGAGACACCGGCGGGACACCGCGGGCCACCGGCCGCCCGGAAGGGAATCATTTGGTCCGGCCGCGCCTCAGCCACAGGAGACTTTTTCTCGCCCGCCCACGCAGCTTCGCCTCGCCCGCACGCACGGCACGCACGAACACGAAACCGAAATCGATTTCCCGGTAGGGGGGCTCTCCGTTCTACTTCGATCTCACCCCCTCACCTCCGATATATATATATATATATATATATATATATACATACATATACATATATACATATATGTGTATAAATATAGATGTATGAAGGGGAACTGGGACACACAAATAAATACCCTTAAATAAAAGGATCCCCTATATTTTCCCAAATATTCGGGGTTGGTTGTCTTCCCCCACTTCCCATATGTTCCCATCTTTTCTTCTGGAAGTCGCAGATTAATTGTGTCTGTGTGTTTTTTCCCTCCTGAATATATATATATATATATACATACAGACATACATACATACATATGTATGTATACATAAATATATACACGTATATAAAACAGACCCACACATAACTAGACATACACATATACATATGCACGAACAACAGCATATACATATAGACATACATATACATACACATGCACATGTGCACACACATATGCACATACACCTACATTTACACATGCACATATTTACGAATGCATAGACGTGCACCTGTCTATCTACAGATGCACATGTAGATGCACATGCGTGTCAATACACGCATACATGTTCGCAGACGTGCATTTCAAACGTCTTGAACATGTACATACACATACACATACACATACGCGTAGACATCACTATATGTATACATGTACACATACATACACAAACACCTATGCATACACACTTACGTACATATTTACATATACATATACATATGCATCTGCATATACGTACACATATACATATACGTCGACATATTTTCCATCAGGTCGCAATCCGTTCAGCCAAACCAGTTGCGGCGCAGCTGGCGTCAAAACTGTTCTCAACTTATCCGCCCAATCACCGCAGATGCGGTACGGCCTTAAGTAACATTTAAAGGAAAGGCTGCGGAGGTACCTGTGGCTGACCCTACAGGGTCAACGCACAAAACAATAGGGCCAACATCGGGCCGCAGCTAGGTGGCCAGAGGGGCGGGGAGGAAAGGAGGAGAAAGAGGGGGCGGAAAGGCTGATACGAAAATGCCCGAATTCGTATCGACTACCGGGTACACGACCAACGTTGGGCAACCCTGCGCATGCAACAATCCAGAGTAAAGCATGGACGGCAGCAGCAACAGCAGGAAGAAGGAAGAAAGCGGCAGGGAGGAACCCAGGACCGAGGACAAGAGAGGCGGCAGCAATGCAGACCAGACGGAGAGCAGCACGGAGAGGAGCAGGAGAGCCAGCGAGCGAGGCGGCAGCAGAGCGGGGGGGACGAGGGAAGGACGACAGCGAGGGCAAGCGGCATGCAAAGCAGCGGCGGCAGAGGGACGGGAGGCAAGGAAACACGCTAGACACTGCGCACAACCCCTGACGGCGAGCAGCCCAGACACCCCAAATAGCGGACATAGGAAGTCGTATGTCAACGCTTGAACGCACAACATATCTGGAAAGTATAGGAAAAATAGGCTTGGCGGCACACGCCAGGCACGGCCCACGCACGTCCGCGCCGGACTGCCGACGCAACGCCGCGCAGATGGTGGAGCCGGGCAACCAGCGCGAGCCGGCGGGCGTGGGCTCTGCGCCTCGAGCCGCGCCAAGGGGCGAGAGGGAAGAGGAGAAGCGAGGCGACGGGGGGGGACTCCAGAAACGCTATCAGTTCCATCCGCGCGCGTGGTCGTAGGTACGCCCAGCGCGGCCGGGCCGTACCCTCGGACAGCCTCGCGGCACGCCTGGTCGAGGGCCTCCATCACCGCCGGGCCCCTGGGGATTTGGCCGCGTCTGCATAGGCAATGCGTGCGATATGCCGCGGCTGCGCGGACAGCCGCGCAGACCGCCCTCGCCAGGTCGCCACTGGCCCGGAAATCTAGACCGAAGAAGGCGGACAACCGCGCGGCAGGATCGGCGGCGCGCGGCAATCCCAGCCGCCTGCCGGCCACCTCGTGCAAGCACAGACACGACGCGTAGCGCTCGATGGAATCTGGTGCCTCCTCGGAGCATCGGAACATGTAACCAGCGAAGCCACGGGCACCCTGCGCGCGTCGTCTGTTCGTAGCCCAGCCAGACCATATCATACGCCGCATCGCTGCCCATATCGTACGCCACATACG